ATGGATGGATGGATGGATGGATGGATGGATGGATGGATGGATGGATGATCTCCTTTATCTCAGTAGCTGTCAGCCATTTGTTTTCTAGCAGTTCATAAAAAATAACATTGAAAGTATGTTAACAATGTAAAAAAAGGTCATATTTATTGAAAAACTGTAGATTACAAATATTAAAAAGGACGGGAGAGTCCAGTTTGGTAAAATTACACCGTGTTAAAAAATGATAATTGTCAGAAAAACAGTTTAGTTTTGAGGCACAGAAAATAAAAAAATATTTAGGCCAGGGGCACTAACCTGGTCTCAGTCAGCTTCATCAAACATTTTCATGGGATTTGCTAACATAAATCCATCCATCCTTTATCTTTTACCCGCCTCTTCCATTTTGGATCACGGGGGTCGCCGGTGCCCATGTACAGCAATCACTGTGCGAGGGTACACCCTGGATGAGTCGCAAGTCAATCACAGGGATACATAGAGACAAACGAGACAAACAACCATTCACTCTCTCACTCTCACCTAGGGACAATTTAGAGTTACCAATCAGCCTAACATGCATGTTTTTCGTCTGTGGAAGGAAACCGGAGTACCGGGAGAAATCCCACACATGCACGGAAAGTACATGCAATTTCCACCCAGAAAGGTCCCATGACCAGGATTTGAACCAAGGACCTGCTCACTGAGAGGCAGCAGCTCTACCAGTTGCGCCACCGTGCTACCACTAACATAAATATATAAATAAATATATCCATCCATTATCCAACATTTTTCAGTCCGGTCATCTAGACAGTTTCTTTTTTTGTGCTGAAACGTTTCGCCTTCGGTCTGGAAGGCTTCATCAGTCAAGGAAACACACAACAAAATTGATTCTTCTCCCAACAGCTTACTACAAAGTGGAACAAACCAGTTCTGCTTGTGATAAGATGGTCTCTTTGGTACGCACCCTCCTACATTGCCGGCCCTCTTCCTTGTTGACATACAGTCAGTGACTGAAAAATGTTGGATTGTATACCTGGATTATTGAGCATGGACTTTGTTGTTTTCAACCAGTTTGAGGGCTCTCTCCCTCACACCTAGGGACAATTTAGAGTTACCAATCAGTCTAACATGCATGTTTTTGGTCAGTGGGAGGAAACTGGAGTACCTGAAGGAAACACATGCATGCACGGAGAGAACATGCAAACTCCTCACAGAAAGGTCCCTGGCCGGATTTGAGCCAGCGACCTTCTTGCTGAGAGGTAGCATCTCTACCAACTGTGCCACCATGCCGTCCTGCTGCTTTAGTATTCACAATAATTCAGTTTAGGCAGCACATCTTTTTCTCTATAATCTACATTAATTTATTTTAGGTGATGCAGCTTTTCTAGCCTTTACAGAAATCATTTGTTTACACAGCCAAGACTAGAATTTTTTTTTAAAGAGTTTAGAGAAAATTGTGTAAGGAGTTTTAAATTATCCATCCATTATCCTCTGCTTGGTCCAGAGATGAGTCGCGGTGGCAGCAGCTCAAGAAGGGAAGCCCAGACATGTCTTTCCCCAGGCATCTCCTCTAACTCTTCTGGGAGGACCACCAAGGTGTTCACTCACAACACTATACGTTTGGATCTACTAGGTCTGTCTGGCATCTTTTCCCACCATCTCACAACTCACCAAAAGGTGGTGATCAGTTGACAGCTCATCTCCTCTCTTCACCTAAGTGTCCAAAACATACAGTTGTAGATCAGATAACAGAATTACAATTTTGATTATCGATTTGCACCCTAGGGCATCCTTGTGCTATGTGCACTTATGGACACCCTCATGTTTGAACATGGTGTTCGTGATGGGCAAACTATGACTAGCACAGAAGTCCAACATCCAACAACAGAACACTGCTCGGGTTCAGTTCAGAGAAGCCGTTCTTCTCAGTCATGCCCTTCCAGGTCTCACTGTTGTTACCCACATTGGCATTGAAGTCTCCCAGCAGAATAGAGGAGTCCCCAGTTGGAGCACCTTCCAGCACCCTTTACTAAGGACTCCAAGAGGGCTGGGTACTCTGAATTGCAGGTTGGCGTGTAGGCACAAACAACAGTCAGATCCTGTTTCCCCACCTGATGGTGCAGAGAAGCTACCCTCTCATCTACTGGAGAAAACTCCAACACACAGGCACCAAGTCGGGGAGCTAAGAGTACCGGTAGACCCACACCAGGTCAGCACCTCTCACCATGGGCAACTCCAGAGTGGAATAATGTTTCGCAGCTCTGAAGGAGGTTGTTTCCAGAGGCCATGCTGTACATCGAGGTGAGCTCAATTATTTCTAGTCTGTACCGCTCAACCTCACACAGAAGCTCAGGCTCATTCTCTACTAGAGAGGTGACATTTCATGCCCCAAAAGCCAGCTTTGGTAAGCCAGGATCAGAGCGCCAAGGGTCTTGGCTACAACCCATAACACTTTGCACCCTGGGCCCTTTGCACTTTGGGCGCACAAGACGGCAGACCCATGTTGCTCCTTTAAGCTGAGCCCGATCGGCCTTGTGGGTAGAGACCCAGTCACCAGGTGCTCGCTGAGGAGCCACTCCCCCAGGCTTGGCTCCAGGTTGGAGCCCCTGTAAACCACATCTGGGCAAATGACACTGAGCTCATTGCTTTTGTCTGTCCATTCAAGTCTTTGGAATCGCTCTTTATCTGGCCTGTCACCTAGGACCAATCTGCTTTCACAGTCCCTACCAGGGCAAATTGCCCCGACAGCATAGCTGCTAGAATCATTCATGAGCACAAACTCCTCCACTACAATAAGGTAGCAATTTAAGGAGGAGGTTGAGTGTAAAAAATAGTGGTCGTGTTTGTAAAAGTGACATCTGGTAGTACTTCTGGTAGTACTAACTGTTATTTGCAACAAACTGGATATTGTCAATTCCCTGCATCGTCTAAATTACTAAGGCTGCAGAAATTTCAAAGACAGGAAAAACCACCAGTAAACCACCTTTTTATTGATTCTGAGGGTCTTTAAAATAAAGCTGATTAGGATTCATATGTTCAAAACATTTTAACAATAGGTTCAGTTACGCCACGCAATTGCACCAGACACATGATGGAACTACAAATATTTAACACTTCTTTCTGTTTTTGTAAAAATAAAAAAATTAAAGTCTGAGTTGTCTGTAATTTATTTTTATGCATGATGCATAAAAGTCGATATGTTAAAAAAAAATCCCGTATAAGATGTCAGAATTGATTATTTAAAAAGAAGTACATAATGTATCTTGTGTTCAAGGACAAACCAAGCTACATTGCTATCTGTAGAAGGACAAATGCCAGAAGTATAAACACTTGAGCACTGTTGTCTTTAGAGAAGGTTGTGCTCCCTGATCTTTTCCCCCTTTCTGTCTGTGTTTGCTCTGTGTACCTCCATAGGGAAAGCCTTGAAGTTCACTGTGTGCTCTGATCCTCTTTGGTTCTCTTTGCCCCAGTGGAATCGGACCTCATGAAGCTCGTACTCATGACTTCTCGGCAGCGGACCCCCAGTAACCACTAACAGCAAAACAGGAAACCACATGAGCAAACAAACACAGAAAACACAAAGTAAGTCATAATGAAAGTGAGACAAAGTGGTCATTTGTGATGAAACAGTTGTGAAATTTGTTAAACCTTTGACGCATGGATTATTCACTTAGAAACGTCTACAACTGATGTTCAAAACTAAATATCCATTTCACTTTCTCAGCACATCTTAAGTTAAAATGTGTCATGTCTCCTGCGAGTCACCTGACTTGGACTTGAGAAGGATGCAGACAGTGTGTCCATCGTTGACGACTTCACAGTCACGACACACCACGTAGTTTGGTGATAAACCAACATCCAGAAGGGTGGGGTCATACTGAGCCTCCCTAGAGTTCAGATTTATGGGAGACTGGTATTCACCATTGGCTGCCGGGAAATGAAGTCCCCATTCTACACCTGAGGGTTGAAACAACCAACATGAAGAATGGTTATGTATCATGAAATAAGTGTGTTCTGGTGGTTAAACTGGTTGTTTTGGTTGATTAAACTGGTCGGTAAAGCACAATGCAATATAAGATCTGGTGATGTGTCTTTAATTTATGCTGCCAAAATTTGAAGTTAAACAGTCCATTTCACTGTTTCATCTCTCTGTCTTTGATCACAATATTGTTCAATAATTGATTAGGACTGTATTGTTATATTTAGAGCAAATACTTTCTGCTGTCAGGTCATGGATGTAAGAACTGTCTCAGTCCTGTGTGAGTTTTTACTACATATTAAATTAATAAAATCCAGTCTCAGTTATTGTTTTCTACCAATAGAACATAGTTTACAGAAACTGCCATGTTGTATTTTTGGAACCAGAGCTTCACGTCCTACCTGCTCCCCTACTAACAATCATGGTGTCGCATGACTTTACTTTTAAGCTTGAAATAACAATTTACAGCTAAACATATTAAAAATAATTTCATTTGAACATACAACAGCAAGGTAAGATGTGTGTGTGTTTCTCCATTAAGAGGACGTATCTTCACTGATGGTGTTTTGTTTGGTTGATATTAGAGTTTGACTGGAATCAATTTAGTTTCATCTAATGGCTGTGCAACCACACTGAACATTCACACATCTTCAAAAAACACTAATTGAAATTAGGCATCTTATACTCCAAACAAACTTTTTTATTTATTTATAGAGAAATTGCACATGCCTCTCATTATCTGGACCACTCAAACTAAAGTAGGAAAACAAAATTCAGATAATTTTACAATTTAACCCTGTGGTTTTTCCAACAAAATCATAGAAGTCTAAAATTTGTATTTTAAAAGTCTTGCAAAAATTACAATGGTCCTAGCATCTGTCCATCCATCTATCCATCTTCAATTCAATTCAGTTTATTTATATAGCGCCAAGTCACAACAGAACCATCTCAGGTTACTGAACAGAAATATTCATATACATAAAAAGTAAGTATCCACAGTCTGGTCGTGGAGACATGACCAGAAGAAAAACCCAGATGCCCATCACCCCAGCAACACGATCCAGCACCTCCTGAGGGATCCCAAGACAATCTCAGGCCAGAGAGGAAAAATAATTTCTCAGTGAGTTTTGCGTCTTCCCAGGGCTCTCTCTCTCTCTCCAGCGGGGACATGCCCGTAAAACCTCCAAAAGGAGGTGTCTAGGAGGCATGCTAAGAGCCAGAGCCACCTCAAATGGCTCTTTTGATGTGAAGAAGTAGCAGCTTTATTCCAAGCATCTCATTCTAAGAAGACCGGGTAATGTGAACTGCTGTTTGATGCATAGCATGAACAATAATCAGAACCTTCCCTCCAGCCAACAGCTTAAAGTTGTGGAGATACAACGTTCTTGTTCAGTGGGAAAAACTCCAACACCCAGGCATTCAGCCAGGTGTTGTATGTATACCCACACCCGCTCAACGTCTCTCTCCCTGGGCAACTTCAGTGTATTAAAAAGTCCAGCACCTCACCAGGGTTACACAGCCGAAGTTGTACGCAGAGGTGAGCCCGGCAGGCTCCACAAGCTCCAGCTCTTTAGCCTTATCCTTGACATTTTATTATCCTTGAGCTAGTTTGTGCCATGAATGTCTTTCCCAGGAACCCTACTATCATCTGCTGTCCAGTTTTCACTGACCCTGATGGTCCTCCTCAAATGTGGTGGGCCCACATGGAGGTGGAATCATGTCCTTTTTTTAAGACTTGAACCAACTGAGCCCCAGAAATCAAGGCTTGACTGCCTGGTGCTCATCCACCAGGTGCTTGAAGCTCCCACCCAGGCCTGGCTCCAGGGTGGTGTTCTGGTTTCCTTAATCTGGGTGAAGTATCTTGATGTATTTCTTGTTTATTCATCCAAGTTTTGGAGTCACTCATGGTCTGATGCCTCCCCCCGAGGCCAGTTTGCCATGAGAGACCTACCAGGGGCTGATGCCCCAGACCACATAGCCTCCAGTATAACTGGAGTTCTCAAACCCTTGTTAAGGTGGTGATTTTGTGAGGGGCAGTCCTAAAAACATGATGCTGAACATGTTGTTCTTTAAAAGCTGCCATAGCTGTAGTGGAACATGAAAAAATATTTTACATTAATTCACATTACAAGCTCAAATAAACCTAAAACAACGACACACGCATCATGCTGTTTGAAGTAAAAAGATTAATTTTACTCTGGTTAGACATCTAAATGGATGTGGATTGAAGTTTTCTGAATATGAGAAATAAACGTTTCTTCTCAGCTAGCACTGCAACTCAGCTGCTCTTCAAGTCACTGATATAATACAATTTTGCATGACTTGATATTCAATGCTACTAAATGATACAATGAATCTTACATCAGAATTTCCTGCTGGGAAGTTTCTTTTGGAAAGTAATAATTTCATAAGAAATGTATGGGTACACAGTCCTACTTCCCTCCTCCAATAGCCCCCCGCCTGCTTCCTTTCTACATCTAGCAAGACTTCTTGTTGAGATGGTGGCGATGAGTTTTGTGCACCTTAAAACCAAACGAAACAGGTCATGGTTGCAAAAAGAGGGTCAGGACTTCCTATCTGGGACAAGAAAAAACTGTAAGCCTTCAGAAGCTGCAGCAGCTTGAGGTATTGTTAATGTATTCAACCATTTAGTGGCAGCTGGAAACCAACTCTGAGAGAGAGTTCTGCAATCGTCTCCAGTTTTATTGCTCTGACAGACGGTGATGACCAGGCACAGAAAGTGACACAAAACCGAAAATCTGGCTTCACTTCTGCTTTGAGGTAAACACAATAGTACTGTGAGAGCAGAGTAAAATGTGTTGAACTCGAGAACCAAAACCCTTTTTTACTCAAATAGCACACAGAGTCCTTTAGGCTTTGCCTTTCTGCAGTAGAGACAGACTCTCCACAGAAGCTGACCATTCTTGCTGCAGCGTAGAGCGGAGGGGGTGATGTGACATTCCCTCTTTCCTCAGCAACGAGAGCCATGACAACAAGTTTCTGTACAGCACTGAAAAGGCAGTGCAAAACTCTCTGTGCATTCATGTTTTCAAGGCTGAGGATAAACTTTTGGTTCACAGTTTGCACTTAACCATGTGAAAGAGAACATGAGTATGTTATCTGCTCATGTGAAATTATGGTTACCATCAACATTTCCCTTTCCCGCTGATCAAAAAACCTTTGCTTTTCATCACACTGAGAAAACAGATGAACATTTTACCTTAAATGCTGCCGAGTTTACATGTACAGCCAAAACACATGATGCAGATCAAAAATTGCATGTTAAATCATTTACTTTTAGAGAATTAACTGCCTTTGGTGGCATAATTTGTCCATTGGCATCACTGTGCAGTGATCTTCAGCTCTCACTGGAGCGGTTCGCAGACGGGTGTGAAGCGGATGGGATGAGGATCAGCACCTCCAAATCTGAGACCATGGTCCTCAGTTGGAAGAAGGTGAAACCGCTGGGAGTTAAGTTCTGTCTCAAGTGGAGCAGTTAAAGTTTGTATCTCAAGGTTTTCCTGATGCACGCTCAATAATTTTTGTTCATGGGTGAGGAAAAAATGGAGTGTGAGATTGTCAGACAGATCGGTGCAGCATCTGCAGTATTGTGGACCCTGGGCCGGTCCATTGTGGTGAAGAGGGAGTTGAGCTGTAAGACAGAGCTCTCTGTTTACTGATGGGTCTACGTTCCTACCCTCACCTATGTCCACAAATTCTGGTAAGGATACACCTGGGCCCCTCCCTAGGGATGTGCTTCAGTCATGTCCAACTATAGGAGCCCTCGGGGAAAGTCCAAGACACGCTGGAGAGACTATGTCTTTTGGATGGCCCAGGAACACCTTGGAATCCTCCCAGAAGAGCTGGAAGAGGTGGCTGGGGAAAGAAAAGTCTGGGCCTCCCTGCTCAAGCTGCTGCCCCATGACCTGACTCTGGAACAAGCAGAAGCTGATGGATTGATGGATGGATGGATTGATGGATGGATGGATGGATGGATGGATGGATGGATGGATGGATGGATGGATGAATGGATGGATGGATGGATGGATGGATGGATGAT